CCCCCCCCTTCCAGCCCTGCCGCATCGCCCGTTCCCTTGCATATTTTGTCTAGGAATAACAGGCCTCGTAAACAAGAGGGGGTATTTATGGGTAATTATCACCAATGCAACCATAATAATGGCCGAGAGTCACGAGAGAAAACGCAAGCAACGATGTAGAAATACGGAGGTGAAAAAGAGTCGGTCAGGACCAATGAGTTTGACGAAGTCGTTGACAAACAGTTCTAAATCCAGAAAGCAAACATTTTCCGGGGGGATTTTGGCTTGTTTGTTTGAGTAAAGAGAAGAACATCAACACAACAATGGTCATTTAGAGCTGGGGAAAAGTAAGACCGAAAGGCAGAAACAACAGAGGGAAAGTAAAGGAGTAGAACCTAGGTTACCTGTGGCCCCCTCTAACCATCTGCTTTCCGGAGATAAAAGTAAACGTTCATTCTTTTAAAAATTGTACCAACATTGCGTATATTTCCTTGGGATTTTTATTTTTTTCAACATGCAGAAATAGAATGTCGATAAAATATTTCTAGTGAGAGCCACACACAATCGACACAACAGCTTAAAGAAGCTAAAATTCAAACAAAACGGGCTTTGTTCATCTTTGTAGTAGGTAGGTTTAACACCTCTTTCGGCACTGTAAGGTTATTTAAGAGGTGGGACCTCTGAATTTGACGTCCATTTTCGATGGGACCATCCATTATACCACAGACCCTAATCTAGCGAGTTTTCACCATGCTACAAAAAAAAAAAGAAGAAAAGAAAGAAAGAAAGGGAAAAAAATGAAAGACAAGAAGAAAGGTTTTCACAATATAAAAAGAAAGAAGAGAAGATGTAAGGAAAGTAATACAGGAAAAAATGTAAGAAAAGAAAGAGAGTAAGTAATGAGGAATAGAAAGGAAGAAACGAGGAATAAAATAATATCCGCACCTTCTGGACTCATCTCTAGATGAAAACAGTATCTCTTTTGCGTACAACTACACAGGGAGTTCATGTACCCTTCAAATATTCAAAGCATCTTGTACTAATGCTGACACTCGCTTCGATCAAATACCGCACGCGCACTGGAGAAAAGTTCAAGCGTGCGTATACATCATTATTTTCAGCACGCAGAAACCATGAATACAGGCACTGGTTCATATGCCCGCAACAGTAGGGAACCAGGGTTCAGTGTAGTTCAGTTTGAGTAAAGAGAAGCACACTGGCACAATAACAGATATCGGCCTTTGAGTGCCCC